CTCCAGGCACATAGTAAGTAAGCTCTCGGGATGCATTTCGCACAAATGGGTAAATGGTCTTACCCTCACCTGAGAGACCACACAGAACAGAGGTGACTTGGAAGGTAAAACCCAAGGAAATTGGAATTAGTTAGGTAAAGAGAAAGCCTGGGGGCACTTACGTGGCTCAGTTGGTTAAGCTTTTGACTTTGGCTCAGGTCATGATCTCAGGGTTCATGAGTTTGAGCCCTGCGTCAGGCTCTGTGCTGACAGCTTATGGCCTGGAGCCTGCTTGGATTCAGTGTCTCCCTCTCTCTCTGCCCCCGCCCCCCATATAAATAAATATTTTTTAAAAATAAAAAAAAAAAAGACGAAAAAAAGAAAAAGCCCAGGCCTGTCCTTCGCCCAACCAGCAAGTTCAACAAATTTAGCTTATGACATATATTTAGTGAATCAACACCAGGTAGTTTTTTTGTTTTTTAATGAAATAAGAATGGAACGAAATAGCAGCATGCATTGGTTGTTGTAAGGATAGGCTATATTACCTTCCTTTAAGGAGAAGTATTATTTGGGGAAACTTTTGTGTCTGTTATAAATGTGTGTCTCTTTATGGAAACATTTGGAGTATTGGACTGAGGTGGTCAAAAGAGTTTGTAAACCACTAGACAAGGCCTCAATTCTCTCTTAATAGATGGTTTGCATTTGAGGTAGGGCCGGCAGGCTCAGACAGCTCTGGGTGACCCTGGGTGACTATTGTAGGCCGCAGCCACCCACCCTCCTTAAGGAGTGAACAGTGAAGCCTTGGCTTGGAGAAGGACAGTTGGCTCTCCCAACTGTGGGCCCTGGGGTCAGGCCAGGCGTGGGAGGACTGTCTCAGAAGGGCCTGGACTTCCAGTCACCAGGTGGCGGGGGTCTCCATGGAGCCCAGCAGGAGTGAGGAGAGGTGGTTGGCATTCGGGCGTAGCAGCCAGATGCCTGGCAGAGCCAGCCAAGCCCTACCCTGTGCAGAATCCCATGGCCTTCTTGGCTCACGCTTGACAGCAGTATCCTCATGTCTGCTGTGCGGGCCTGTGGACCTGTGTGAGGTGGCGATCTCCTCCTTCCTATCCCGCTAGGCCCCATGTGGCCAGGTTCAAGCAGGCCCTTGGCTGGCTGGGAGCTGTTTATTTTGGGTTGACAGGCCCAGCACTCTGGCTATATTTACCTTGTGAAGTTGCTTGCAATCTGATCTGATCTGATCTGATCTCTCTGGGGCTGAGCTGGGGCCCTGGGAGTCGCCTGCCAGATTCCACGAGGCCCCCTGACTTTCCTTCTGTGCTCTGTGGGGAGATTTCCCAAGCGGGAAGCGTTCTGGAAAAAACAGGGGCTTGTATTCCTATAAATGGTTTTCCTCAGGATCCATGACGGGTGTCATCCGTTCCTTCTCTCTGGACATTCTTCTTTCTGAAGCCCCAGAGCACTGACCTTGGCCATCCATACAGCCAGCCTGCAGGAATTGTAGGGGCTGGTGAGGGTGATGGGGTTTCTTCCAGAGCTTGGGAGCAGGGCTTTTTCTCTTCCTCAGGGTGCCCAGCATTTCAGGCTTTGCTGTCCAGCCTCTCCCCAGCTCAAGACCTCGGGGAGGGCTGGCTGGTTCTGCTGTCCCCAGGTCAGGTCCGTTCCGACAGCTGTGATTTCTGGTCCTGGATCCTGAGAGTGTGACAAATGGTGTGGAAAGAGTGGTCTCTGTCCTGCTGAGGCAGCCATCTGGACCCGTGTGGTTTGGGGCACACTTTCACCTTATGCCCTGGGTTTGGAATTTGGGTAGATGAGGCCCAGAGTGGGGATCTGACCCTGTCACCCACCCCGGCACGGGGGTTGGGGGCCGCAGAACCTTGGCTCATGGGGTCAGTTCTCTCCAGCCCGAGCTGAGGGTGTCCAGGGGCTATTTCTCTCTCTTTCTCCCCCCCCCCAACTTTTTGTTGTTAAAGTTCATTTATTTAACCAATCTCAACACCCAACATGGGGCTCAAACTCACAACCCCAGAATCAAGAGCCACATGCTCTACCCACGGAGCCAACCAGGCACCCTTGGGCTATTTCTCTTCTGCTTCAAGCCCCGTGTTTTTTTTTTTAACTAAAATGTATTGTGCACCTCCTGTGGTCGGGTCCTGGGTTAAATGCTTACATGTCAAGACCTTATTTAGCCTCTTCAGCAACTGTCTTGGTCCATCTGGGCCACTGTTCCGGAATAACAAACTGGGTGGCTTATAAACAACAGACATTTATTTCCTCACAGTTCTGGAGGCTGGACGTCCAAGATCAAGGTGTCGGCAGATTCCAAATCTGTGGAGGGGCTGGCTGCCTGACTCAAAACTTCTGTCTGCTCACTGTGCCCTCCCGTGGCAGGAGTGGCAATGGGCTCTCTGGGCTCTCTCGCTCTTTTTTTTCTTTTTCTTTTAGATAGTGTGAGCAGGGGAGAGCGGCAGAGGGGGAGAGAGAGAATCCCAAGCAGGCTCCATGCTTAGGAGCCCAACCTGGGGCTTGATCTTACCACTGTGAGATCATGACCTGAAGTGAAATCAGGAGACGCTGAACTGACTGAGCCACCCAGACACATACATCCCCCCCATTTTTTTTTTAAGTTTATATATTTATTTTGAGAGAAAGAGAGAAAGCAAGCAGGGGAGGGGCAGATAGAGGAGGAGAGAGAATCCCAAGCAGGCTCTGTGTGGCTCGATCTCAGGAAAAGTGCACCGAACCTTGGATCAGGTCGTGATCTCATGGTTTGTGGGTTTGGGCCCCGCATCGGGCTCTGTGCTTAACAGCAGAGCCTGGAGCCTGCTTCAGTCTGTGTCTCCCCCTCTCTCTCTACCTTTCCTCTACTCACGCTCTGTGTATGTGTCTCTTATTTCTCTCAAAAATAAATAAACATTAAAAAAGATTTTTTTTAAAAGAGTGGACACTTAACCCGCTGAGTCACCCAGGTGCCCCTGGGCTCTCTTTTGTAGGGACACTAATCCTGTTACGAGGACTCCACCCTCCTGACCTAATCATCTCCCTAAGGCCCCACCTCCTAGTACCATCCCACTGGGAATTAGGGTTTGAGGGTGTGAATTTAGAGGGAACACAAACATTCAGTCTGTAGTAGCATCCACGTGGGAAAGCGCTTCTATTGCCCCCTTTGCATGCGGGCTTTAGAGCCACAGGGACTTGAGTTCAGAGCTCCCACTTAGAAGCAGTCTGACCCCTGGAATAGCTGACCTCACCTCTCTGAGCCCATTTTTCCTCATTTGTAAAAGAATAATAATGATGTTGCTGATAATCATTTATACTTTGTTAAGCTTACCGTGTGCCAGCTTCTGTTCTGAGGGCTTTATATTCAGTAGCTCATTGAATCTCATAACAGTCATAAGAAGTGGGTCCCAGTATTATTGATGTGACACAGAAAGGTTGAAATACTTGTCCAAGGTCACCAGTTTTGTCAGTGGAGAAGCCAATTCATCCTTAACGGCGATAAAGAAGGGGAGATACCAGGTAAGGGAACAGGTTAGCTACCTGTATATGTCCCCCTGGAATATACCCCAGCGCTCAGCTCAGGGCCTGATGTACCTAATGGGTATGGACATTTCCAGTGAGTGAATAAATAGCCAGTGGGCTCCTGCTTATCCTTTCTCTGGTTTCAGGTTCCGGGGCAACAGGCCAAAAACAGGAAGAGGAAGTGCTGGGGGTGGGGAGGTGGTGGCAGAAGGCATGCATTGCTGGAGGGTTCCCTCCCCTTTCCAGTGTGGGCAGGCCTGGTGGCTGAGACCATGGGGCCCTGGGATGTGTCCCTTAACTCACTATGCCCTGATGGCCTGCCCTTACCCGTGTGTACTAAGAATTCTCAGGATTGGCACTAGGCCACCAGTGATCTTAAAAAACAGTTGAAATCCTGATGGCACTGCCCCAGATTTATAGGAGCTTGAAACATTTTGTAAACTCCTGGGCTGAACAGTTCATACCGGCTGTGGCAGCTCTGGGGCAAAAAAGTCTATGAATCTCGTTGAAATTGTTACGTATACCTGGATGTTCTAAGGAGGGTGTCCATTATCTTCACCAGATTCTCAAGGTGTCAGACCCCACATCAGCTTTCGCCTGTGACCTTAATCTCACCACGTTCCCTCCTTTTACAGACCAGAGGGGAGGGTTATGACCAAGGTCAAACAAGGAAGGTGGTTCTGGAGCCAGACTCAGGCCCCCCAGGTTGTCTGTGGTGTTCTTTCAGCCCAGGTGTACCCTTCCAGTAGAGGATAGAAGCCCCAGAGGATTCCATATAGAGACAGTGGGTTTGGGGATGATGTGTCTAAACTGAAAAATAATAATAAAGCCCATTTAGATTGAGTGTTTACTCTCTGCCAGGCACTAAGTATTTAACATGGGATTAACTCGGTCCTCACAACAATGCTCTGATTCATGTACCATTATTCCCATTTTACAGATAAGGAAACTGAGGAGCTTGCTAGAATCAGTGCTAAATAAAGGGCAGAGGAGTGAGGGTTCAGAGGCAGGCAGCCTGGCTCTACAGCCTGTGCTCCTGACCCCACACTGCCTTCCCTTGTCAAAGGAGGGGTCGTGAGAAATAGAGATATGAAAGCAAGCAGGGCCAGGCATATAGGCAGGAGAGCTAGTGAGGAAAGAGAGAGACCCCTTACCCAGGAGTAAGGAGGAGTCAGCATTAGCTTGTATGGGGCTAGTGGATATGTGGCAGCATTTGACCTCCCCCTCTCTGAGCAGACATTTTATGAAGGGTCACTCACTGTCCTTAATGGTATTGCCATTGGCGTTTGCTGCCCCAGTCCCTCCAGCCTGGCAAGCGGACCCTGGCATTCTGCCCACTGCCCGCTGTTCCGGGTCCAGATCTGATGAGCTGGCATCTTCACGTGGGGGCGATTTGCAAGGCCCAAGTGAGAAGCAGCAGGTGGCAGGCCCAGAACGTGCCCCTGGTGACCCTGGGTCCACAGGTCTCCAGGAACTGGGGAGCAGCTAGGGCGTCAGCCGTGGGGCCCAGAGCTGGGGCTAGGGCAGGAGGTGGCGTGGCCCCAGGGCTTGTCTACCACACTGCAGCAGCACCTGGCTCAGTCCCTTCTAGGAAGCTTCACCATTCCTCGTTGGTTGGTGCACCATTTCCTCAGAAAGGGTGTAGGCCTGACCTGGGAGGGCCTTCATCTCTAGCTCACCCCATGCCTTCTCCCTGGATCGGGGCATGAAGGAGAAGCTTGTGCTCGGGAACAGAATGTTAGGCCAACAGAGAGGGCGGCTGGTGGTTTGGTGGTTGCAGTTTTTTTTTAATGCAAACTGTATCATAGTAAAATATACATCAACCTTACCATCTTTTTTTTTTTTTTTTAAGTCTATTTTTTGAGAAACAGAGCATGAGTGGGGGAGGAACAGAGAGAACGGAAGTCACAGAATCCAAAACTCTCTGCGCTGATAGCAGAGAGCCAGATGTGGGGCTCGAACTCACCATGAGATCATGGCCTGAGCCAAAGTTAGACGCTTAACTGACTGAGCCACCCAGGTGCCCCTCAAACTTACCGTCTTAACCGTTTGTGGTTTGGCTTTTAATACCTGGCTGGGTGGTAGGAGCAGCAGATACTATTTGGGAGATGTTTACCACGTACCAGGGACTCTGATTTCATTGTTAAAATAAGCCTATGAACTACTGTGATATCTGTTTCACAAATAAAGAAGTTGAGGCTCAGAGAGGCTTAGTGGCTTTCCTAAGGACATATGGCCAGCAAGTAGTGGAACTGGGATTCACCTCCAGCCAGCCTGGGCTCTAAACCTGCTGTCTTCACTAATACTTTCTCAACCCTAAGTGAGGGAGTCCTATTATCCCCATTATATAGATAAGGAAACTGAGGCTTGGAGAGGCCACGTGTTTCCCAGGGTCCATGAGCTTGATGGGAGGGGAACCAGGATTTGAGTGTGGCTCTGTGGGCCATGAAGGTCCTGGCACTCAGCCCCCCTCTCCCCTGTCCCCTAGGTGGCGATGGTGGAGGTACAGCTAGATGCCGACCATGACTATCCGCCCGGGCTGCTCATCGCCTTCAGTGCCTGCACCACGGTGTTGGTGGCCGTCCACCTATTTGCACTCATGATCAGCACCTGCATCCTGCCCAACATCGAGGCGGTGAGCAACGTTCATAACCTCAACTCGGTCAAGGAGTCACCCCATGAGCGCATGCACCGCCACATCGAGCTGGCCTGGGCCTTCTCCACTGTCATCGGCACGCTGCTCTTCCTGGCTGAGGTGGTGCTGCTCTGCTGGGTCAAGTTCTTGCCCCTCAAGAAGCAGCCGGGGCAGCTGCGGCCCACCAGCAAGCCCCCGGCCAGCGATGAGGTCGCCAACGTCAGCAGCACTGGTGGCATCACCCCGGGCCAAGCCGCCGCCATCGCCTCCACCACCATCATGGTCCCCTTCGGCCTGGTCTTCATCGTCTTTGCCGTCCACTTCTACCGCTCACTGGTCAGCCATAAGACGGACCGACAGTTCCAGGAGCTCAACGAGCTGGCCGAGTTCGCCCGCTTGCAGGACCAGCTGGACCACAGAGGGGATCACCCCCTGACGCCCGGCAGCCACTATGCATGAGCCCTTCTGGGCCTGGGCACTTCAGTTTGGCCTTACGCCACTCCCCACCGCCTCGTCCTGCCCCAGCCTCAAGGACAGCCAGCTCTGGGGACTGGGCTGTTGTCCAGGGGGCAGAGAGTGGAGGGAAGCGGCTTTTTTTCTTTTTTTAAGAGAAATGACTGCACTTTGAAACTTTCCTCTAAGAGAATAAGCACTTCCTGTTCTTCCAGCTTCAGGTTTACCTCCTGTTAGGAGGCCACCGGTGGGAGCCAGAGTGGGGACAAACACTCCCTTTGTCCCTCCTCCTCCCCTGTGCCAGTGCCACTTGGATGCTTCGTCTTTTCTGTCTTGATCCCCCTCCCAGTTCAGTGTCAAATGTGTGTGTGTGTGCGTGTGTGTGCGCGCGTGTGTACACATAAATATACTCATAAGGGACACCTCTTGTGTCTGTCTTTGTTAGGTCTGGACGGCCTGGTATGAATTCTCTTGGTGCCCCAATCAGGTGAGCCTCTAAGTGAAAATTTTTGTTAACGTTTTATTTTGAAAATTTTCAAACCTACAGAAAAGTTGCGTGAATAGCAACTGAAATACATATACAGTCACTTCTTGTTGTTCATCATGGTTGTGTTCTATAAAGTCATCGTGGATGCTGAATTGGTGAATATTGAACCATTGCTCCTGTGGGGTTTAGGTTCCTGTGAGCCTCTGGTCACAGTATTTTGTCAGCTGTTCGGCAGGTTACCCTTGGTTTTCTGTGTTTCTGGGCTGTTTTTTTGTCTAAAGAGTTTTATTTTTAAATAATTTCTGTACCCAACATGGGGCTCGAACTCAAAACCCTGAGATCAGGAATTGCATGCTCCACGGACGGAGCCAGCAGGTGTCCCGCTGCCTTCTTTTTAAATAGTGAAATCACGGGCATGCCTAGCTGACTCCGTCCGTGAAGCATGCGGCTCTTGGCCTTGGGATTGTGCGTTCCAGCCCCACGTTGCCACAGAGCCTTCTTAAAAATTTTTTTTTAATTTTAATGATAAATAGTGAAATTGCCAACAAAAAGCACCAAATGTGAACAACATGGCACTAACTAGGCAACGTGAAAAGAACACTTGTTTAGGAAAGCTGAGACAAGAAGGCAGAGCAGTGCCATTTGACCTCAGCAAGGAGGCAGGTGCCCAGATACTGAAACTGAATGATGGGGGTGAACTGTGTGTTTCTCCCCTGAGTCACGTGCATTAGTTGCAGATATCACCCTTCATGCCTGCATACTTCCCTCTAAAGCCAAGGATGTTTCTCCTACATAACCTCAATTCAGTGGTCAAAGTCAGGAAATTTGACATTGATGCAGTACCTATTTAATAATGACACTCATGTTCACTTCTCCACGGGTCTTCAATCATGTCCTTTGTCGCAGTGATTTTACCCTTTAGGGTCGTGTGTTGCAATGAGGTGCCACGTCTCTCTGCAGTTGCTTTTAAATTTGGAACGGCCTTTTCTTGTGCTTTGTATAACATCGACAGTTTTGGAGTCCATGCCTGTGGTTTTGTAGAATGCTACCTCAACCTGGCTTCCCAGACATTTTCCCATTATTACATTCAGGATGTGTGTTTTGGCAGGAGTGTTTATCTCCATTTTGCAGATAGCAAAAGTTGATGCCCAAAGAGGTTAAGTGTAATCGGCTAGAATTCGAACCTAGGAAGTCTGGCTCAGCACCCAGCCTCTCACAGAAATCATATATGCAGGTTCTGGTTTTGCTTAAGAATTTGAAAGATCCAGGGGCGTTTGGGTGGCTCAGTTGGTTGAGCATCCTACTTCGGCTCAGGTCATCATCTCACAGTCTGTGAGTTCAAGCCCCACATTGGGCTCTGTGCTGACAGCTCAGAGCCTGGAGTCTGCTTCAGATTCTGTGTCTCCCTTTCTCTCTGATCCTTCCCCTCTCAAGCTCTGTCACTCTCTCTCAAAAATAAATCAGTATTTTTAAAAACTAAAAAAACTCCTAGAAGCATCTTCTAAAAAAAAAAAAAAAAAGAATTTGGAAGATCCAGCAGCAGCAGGAGGACTGGTCCCACCTTCTCGCAGAACAGTAGTGAGAAGGAACTGAGTTGCAGTCGCCTTCTTCCCCAGGAGAGGTGTTTGCCACAGACACCACCGCTCCCTCTTGTCTCACACCAGGCCAGCTTTGTTTATGTTACTTGCCTGGCTCCCCACCTTGAGCCTTTGAGTTTGAGTCCTCTGTGTCAGTCCCACAAACACAATACAGTAGGGGGTTTTATAAAAACAAAGTCCTCTGAGTGAAGTGAAAATTGGTTGAGGCAGTGTGGCTTCAGGCTCAAGTAATCTCCACACCCAAAGTGGGGCTTAAACCCACAACCCTCAGATCAGGAGTCACACTCCAGTGACTGAGCCCGCCAGGCGCCCCTTAAGTTTACTTTCTTTCTTGATTTTGCCTGAAGTCAAGAATCAATTGTCATCAATTACAAGATTGTAGATTTCCAAGTTTTCCCCTAGAGATTCCAATTCAAGTTGGTCTGGGTAGATCTAGACTCTGTATTTTTAACAAACACCCCAGGTGCTCAAACCCCGGCGGCTCAGGGAAACACTGGTAATTAAAGAACAGTCTGTAATTTCAGTTTTGTTTATATTTTGGATACATAATACATTCACAGGTTCCAAATACAACAGTGAAAAGTTGCCCTCCCTCCCCGGTTCCCAGTTCTCTCCAGAGACCTCCATTGTTGCCAATGTATTGTGTTCCTATCTAGAGATTTTTTTTTTTTAATTTTATTTATTTCTAGGAGAGAGAGAGACAGCATGAGCGGGGGAGGGTCAGAGAGAGAGGGAGATACAGACTCTGAAATAGGCTCCAGGCTCTGAGCTGGCAGTCAGCACAGAGCCCGACACGGGGCTCGATCCCACAAACCGCGAGATCATGACCCAAGCGAAAGTCGGACTCTTAACCGACTAAGCCACCCAGGTGCCCCGAGATGAAGTGATTTACCTAAANGGTCAGAGAGAGAGGGAGATACAGACTCTGAAATAGGCTCCAGGCTCTGAGCTGGCAGTCAGCACAGAGCCCGACGCGGGGCTTGAACCCACGAACCGCGAGATCATGACCTAAGCGGAAGTCGGACACTTAACCGACTAAGCCACCTAGGCGCCCCTAGAGATTTTTATACATAAACTAGAGCACACCCTACTTTTTCTGGTTGGGGGAAGAAAAGCTGGCCTTCTATATGCTGCCACTGTTCTGTACCTTCAGAGCAGACAGATCTAAGTTTAAGTACAGTTCCTTTCCAGCTTTGTGACTGGTGAACCTCCCTGGACCTGTTTTCTCCTCTAAGATGGCACTAATAATAGCAGGACACCTCATAGGTTGTTGAGGGGTCATGGGAGGGGACACATCAGCACAGGGCCTGGCACTTAGTGAATGTTCTGTATCCCAAGTGGGCCAGGCCCAGCTTCCTAGTGCAAGAAACATACGTTGGGTCAGGCCACCCCCTTTATGGTTTAGAGAGCAGAAAGAACATCAATAGTGTCAGTGTTTATTGAGTCTTTATATCAGGCACTTGCTGAGGGCTTTACGAACATGGTGTTACAGGGTTACACTTGGGACACTGGGCTGAAAAACTCTATTGTAATAGAGTGTTTATTTTTTATTATGTTTATTTATTTTTGAAAGAGACAGAGCACAAGTGGGGGAAGGGCAGAGAGGGAGGGAGACACAGAATCCGAAGCAGGCCCCAGGCTCTGAGCTGTCAGCACAGAGCCCGATGTAGGGCCTGCACCCACAAACTGAGATCATGACCTGAGCTGAAGTCAGACACAACTGATTGAGCCACCTGGGTGCCCATACAGTATTTATATTATAGTGTGTTTAGCAGGATCCTCAACCTCTACCCAGTAGTTCCCAGTAATATCTTTCCCTGTCAGTTGTGACAACCAAAAATGCCTCTAGACATTGCCAAATGTCTCCCGGCAGGGAGGGAAGACAAAAGCACCCTCAGATTAGAACCACACCTTACTTCATCCTAAAGTTAACCACAGTAACCTGTGTGGTAAGGACCGTTACTCTCCTGTATCTGAGGAGAGGAAACCGAGAGAACAGAGAGGTTGGGTGCCGTATCCAAGAACACACAGCTCATAAATCACTGCTGGGATTCACACCCAGGCAGTCTGATTGCTGAGCTCGTGTTCCTGCCCGTTATGTAAGACTCCCTTTTATCTTGCAGGCTGTTGTCTAGAATTATGCAAAGCTCTTCCCAGGTCTCAGCTCCACAATTAACCTCAATACATGTTATGTGTTTCCATCACATCTGTTAGCAAATCCTCAAAAACAACCCCTGTGATTTTACATTTTACAGAAGTATTTTTTAGTGTCATTTTACCGATGGGGCAACTGAAGTCACCGAGGGTCACAAAGCCAGTAAGTCTGGGGTTCATGGCCCCGGCTGCACATTAGAATCATCTGGGGAACTTTCTGAAGGCCAGGCTTACCCCAGACAGACCAGAGTCTGAACAGGAGACCTGGGTGTCTGTAACTTTTAAAGCTCCTGCAGGATCCCAAGGTTGAGTGTTCCTGTGTAGGTTGAGAAGCCAGGTCAATGTCTCAAACCCAAATCTTAGTGGCCAGTGTGACCAGACACAGGCTCTTCTCCCTGGAGGATCTCAGAGGTCAGAGAGCTAGAGACACGTTTTCTTTCTCCCCCAAGGTATATCCATGCAGCCCATGGGGACACCTGCTGTCTTCACCTAAAGTCCTTCCCAGAGCTCCACAAACCACCCCCTCCCCAATCACACACCGCAAGCCCTTGGCTGAAGCCACCAGGTTCTCCTTTATGCTCCTGCGTTCGGGAATGGGGGCCCAGCATGAGCTGTAACAAGAGGGTCCTCAAAACCAGCTGGGGAGAGGATAATCTGGTGCTGGGAGGAGTGAGGTGCCCTCTGAGGGTGCCAAGGGTGTGCCCAGAGTCACCACTCATTTCAGAAGGCACACCAGTTTGAGCAGCTGGGTGACAGGCTTGAATTTCTCCAGAAGCTCTGGTATGTTTCCTGCAGAGGCAAGGGGCTGGTGGGAGCTGGTGACCCAAAGAAGCTGTACCGTTGCCCTCTCCTGGAACCCTGCTTATACGCACACCAGGAGGGCCTAGGACAGATGTGCAAGTGCAGGCCTGGGGCAAAGTGCCTTCTTACTCAAGGGCGTTCAGGAGGGACCTGGTCTTCGAGGAAATGAGTTTTGAAGGGGAGGAACCAAAAAGAACCAGCTGGATTGCCGGAGGCAAGAAACCCACCCTCTGGTTCTGCCCTTGAGTCCCTTGGCCAAAGGAGACCCCAGGAGCTTCCTCAACCACATCTGAGGGTGGGAAGTATGCCCATCTCTCACCTGGCATCAATCTTCATCTTCCTCTGCCTTCTTGAACATGGCCAAGGCTTCCTTCAGCACGCCATCAGGGTCTAGAATTTCGATCTGGAGGGAAGCAGTAAGGGGTTGGATTGGGGAGCATGGAAGACCCAGGCTGCCATCCTTTGGGGTGCAAAGGATGCACTCTAGAAGTGCTGTCTGCGTGTGGGGTGCTGCCAGTCTCTGTGGGAATGCCCCAACTGAAAACAAAATCTGGTCTGTTCCCTGGCTGGACTGGGCTAGGCCTGGCCAGACTGGATGTGCCTGGGTGGGTGGTGGTGGGGGTACTGTTTTCTGTCTCTCTGGGTGTGGCCACAGGGCCCTTGTGGGTGCTGCCCACCTTAGGAATGGGGAACTGCGTTGGTTCAGGGGCCTCATCGCGGCCAAAGTCAATCATTGTGCCACACTTGGCTACGTCGTCCACCCAGAAGCCTTCAAACAGCTGACCGTGGTCCAGGTGGAAGAAACGGCCTGGCCCATTCTTCATGCCTCTCTGCCAGTAGCCCTCGTAGCGGTTCCCGTTCTCTGGGGGTAAGGACAGGGTCACGTGGGGACTGAGCACACCTTACTAGGCTCCACATGCCCAGGCTGGACGCTGCCCATAGGGAAGCCAGAAGGAGACCAAGATGTTGAGAATACCCTGGGCTGGGCTGGGCTGCCTGGGGTGTGGGAGGGCCAACCTAGAAACCTCAGAGCCCAGGGGTGTCAGTGACTTCCGGAATCAGACCTGGTCCGCATCTTACCTCCACTACTTGCCTGAATTTGGATGAACAACTTCGTTTCCTATTTGTACAAAATGCAGCTAATGACATAAATAGGCATTGTTTTTCCAGCACTCATTCTGCGCGTGGTTCTTTGCTACGTTTCTGACCTCACTCCTCACAAAAACAGTTCTATGAAGGATAACGGACTCCATTTTTACAGATGGAGCTTGAAAGGCTCAGGGAGTTTGACTGATGTGCTCAAGGTCACAGAGCTAGGAAGTGGCAGAGACAAGATTTGAAGCCAAGGCCTGTTCAATCCCAGGAGACCATGTTCTTAATCATGAACTAACTCTCCTGCTCAACGGATGATGGTGGCGCTGTAAAAAGAGCAATAATAAAGCTAGCACTTCACTCAGACACAGCCATTAGTCTCGGGCAAGTCAGTCAACCATTCTGTCTCATTTCCTCTCATTTGTAAAATGGGAATAATAGTAGCACCTACCTCATAGAATTGTAGTGGAGATTAAATAAGTGGATACAAAGAAAGGGCCTAGAAGATTACTGGATAGGGGCTCCTGGGGGCTCAGTTGGTTGAACGTCTGACTTTGGCTCAGGTCGTGATCTCACGGTTCATGGGTTTGAGCCCCAGGTCAGCCTCTGTGCTGAATGCTTGCTCAGAGCCTGGAGCCTGTTTCAGATTCTGTATCTCCTTCTCTCTCTGCCCCTCCCCTGCTCATGCTCTGTCTCACTCTATCTCTCAAAAATAAATAAATGTAAAAAAAATTTTTTTAATAATAAATAAAAATTTTTAAAAAGAAGAGTACTAGATAAACTCTAGGTCAGAAGTCAGCAAACTGTTTCCATGAAGGGGCAGACAGTATTTTCGGCTTTGTGTCTCACAGGTTCTCTGTCACAGCTACTCAGCTTTGCCATTGAAGCATGAAAGCAGCCATGGACAATGTGTAAATGTATGAGCAAGGCGGTGTGCCAATAAAACTTTACTTACAAAAATGTGCGTTGAGCTGGATTTGGTTCAAGGACTGTAATTTGCTGACACTTGCTCCCTCCAAGTATGAGCTAATAAATAGTAAGTGTTGAGCACTTACTATTATTACATGCCAGGCACCGTGCTAAGCACGCTACAAACTCAGTGAACCTTCACAATACCCTACTTAAGTTTTATTTTTATCCTTACTTTACCAAAGGTGAAAAAACCAAAGCACAGAGAGTTTAAGCAAATCGCCCAAGGTCACATAGGTAGTAAGAGCTTAAGGCAGGATTTGAACCCAGGCAAGCTGTCTCCAGAGTCTGGGCCACTAGAAATGATGCACTTAGAGCCCTTACACTATGTGTGGCCACAGCAAGTGCTCACTGAATGCAGGCTATTCCTAGTAGACGCTCACTGAAAGCAGGCACAGCGCTTGGTGTTTGGGGGATTGAGAACAACAGACAGAAGTGGCTGGATTAAACCTTCCTCAGCTGCCCCAATGCCTCAGTTTGGCCAAGTCTCACTAGAAGTTGGAGTCTTGAGTTTTCGGGAGACTGGGCTCTGGTTTGTGTCCTCACTAAGAACACCTACTATGTGCCAGGCATTGGAGAAACAGTGAGGAACAAAATAAATATGCAGTCCAGGTCCTTATGCAGCTCACAGTCTGGAGAGACAATGGCACTAGCTTTATAGATAGCCTACTGTGTGCCAGACCCTGTTCATAGTACCTACAAAGTGGGTACTACTATTATTCCCATTTTACAGGTAAGGTAACTGAACAGCAACAGGAAGAAACTTGCCCAAGGTTATACACCTAGCGCTAAAAAGGAAAGGAAGCAAGCAGGTGCTGAGGAGAATGAGGAGAATGTGCTTTAGTGAACAGGGAAGGCCTCTCCGAGGAAGAAACTGTGCAAAGACCTGGACGATCTTTCTATTGCAGGAAGAGAGAACAGCAGTGCAAGGCCCTGAGGCAGAAAGTGGGGGAGAGACTGAAAGAAAATGAATATGGCTGAAATGAAGGGATTCCCAGGGGAAGAGGTGGGAAGCACAATTAGAGAGGTGAGGAGGGCCAGACTGTGCTGCCTGTGGATGGTTGAAAGCGGGGCAGTGACCAGGTCCAATCTGGAAGAAATTCATGCTGGTTGCTATGTAGAGAATGGGTTAAGTCTTGACAGGAAGGCAGTTTACCTGATTGATTACTCTTTCCTCTGTCTAGGACTGTTCTTTCCCCATGCTTATCAGGTTCCTTCTCTTCTTTCAAGTCTTCTGCTCAAATTTCACCTCTTGAGGGAGACATTTTCTGACCATAAGTCAGTCTAAATCGCTCCTGTCTGCAACTCCTTTGTCATTCTCCAGCACACTTTCCTATTTTCAAGGGATATTCCTTAGCACTTTTGATCTCACAGGTAACAGACTGCATTGACCTTGAGCAAGTCACTTAACCTCTCTGTACCTCAGTTCATCTGTAAAGTCAGGATAAGAGTACCTCTATCTTATAGGACTGTAGCAAGGATTAAGTGAGCTCAGTGCTGCGTAAGCATAGACTATGATTATTATGAACATAAGAAAATGTCTTCATTGTTGATGTTTATTGTTAGGCACCCCCCTTCGAATATAAGCTCCCAGGAGGGCCTGGGTGGCTCAGTCCATTGAGAGTCAGACTCTTGATTTTGGCTCAGGTCATGATCTCACCGAGATTGAGGCTGGGTCAGGCTCTGTGCTGTCAGCTTGGAGCCCATTTGTGATTCCCTCTCTCTCTGCCTCTCCCCTGCTCTGTCGCAAAGTAAATAAATAAACTTAAAAAAAAGAAAAAAAAGAGGGATGCCTGGGTGGCTCATTCGGTTAAGCGTGGACTTCGACTCAGGTTATGATCTCACGGTTCGAGGGTTCGAGCCCCGCGTCAGGCTCTGTGCTGACAGCTCAGAGGCTGGAGCCTGCTTCAGATTCTGTGTCTCTCTCTCAGAAATATATAAAAACGTTAGAAAAAAAAAAGAATATAAACTCCTTGAGGGCAGGGATCTGGTCCTGTCATTCATCTTAGCCGGAGCTGGGGAAAGGGTTGGGTGGGTGGGGGCGTGGCCAGGAGGGGCGTGGCAAGCAGGCCATTGGGGCGGGGCACTTACTCAGGCGCAACATGCCCTCCCCGTGGGGCTTGTCCTTCAACCACTGGCCCTCGTAGATGTCGCCGTTACCGTAGTAAGTGCGGCCCCACCCGCTGCGCTGGTCGCCACACCACTCACCCTCGTAATACTCCTTGGGTCCAAAAAACTGAATCCCATAGCCCTGAAAGCACGAAGGTGTCCCTGTTCATGATGCTCCCCCAACACCAGGAAAGCCACCCCCATCTTCCCTGGCACCCAAGCCACACCTTGGACTACTTCCCTGCTTCCTCCCTCAGCCCTACATCCCCAGCTGATGGTCGGGAATTGAAACAGCTCCCCAGGCGGTCCCATTGCCCTCCACTCCTATGCTAACACCTTCTTGCAGCCCAGGATCTTTTCTCCGCTCCTCACTGGTCCGCCTCCTCCACTCTCCCATTCTCCCCTCTTCATGCATCCTCCGCTCATCTGATCACTTTTGCCCCCTCTTTGATTTGACCCTATTATAAGTCGCAGATGCTTCCGAGAAACCCATCAAATTTACAGACTTTTTCCCCCAGAAAAATGGACACCACACTTAGCATCCAGCCACAGAGAATCAAGGACTCCTCGCAGATCACACCTAAGGAAGTTGGGTTAAGCAGCCCATCTACCCCTCAAAATCCTGATTCTCCACATAGCCTTCAAGGCCCCCACCAACCCCTCCTCCCTCACTCCTACCCCTGTGGGCACACACACCTTGCTGTTGGACATATTCTTTGCTCCTTCCGCATTGCTACTTCCCCTTCTCCTTTTTTCTTCCCTGGCTAAGTCTTTGTACCTTTTGGTTTCACCTCTTACAGGAAGCCTGCCCTGAATTCTCAATTCCTGTGGGCTCCCCGTGAAAACCTCCAGCCTAACACCATATCAAATGTGAATTGTTTATTCTGGGATCTCTCTCCCTAGTGGCCAATAATCCGTTTCAGAGCAGAGATCATGAAATCCTGAGCACTACCATTTGCCAGCAGTGTGTGATCCCAGGCAAGGCACTGCACCTCTCTGAGCTTATTTCCTTATCAATAAAATGAGTGATGATGATGATGATGATGATGATGATGATATTGTGAGTTAGTTAGAGGCACCATATGCCATGTTCTAGATTGCGATAGCAGTTGTTCGGTAGCAGCACTGGCCTATGGTGAGAGTTGAGGCATTTATGGGTTGAGGACCTGCCCCTGGCTGGCTTCTACCTCCAGGACCTTCCTTTCTTGCCCTGTGGCCAAGGGTGTGGCCTCTGCTTTCTTGCTCCCACTTTTCCTACCCCCTTCTTGTGCAGGCCCAATAGAAGGGGGATTCTTAGAAAGGAATGCCCAGGGTAAAGAAAGCCAGGAAATGAGTGGGGGTGATGGGGGAGGAGACTTGGCCCCTACACAGCCTGGCAGGCTTCTAGCCACAGGTTTCATGGGCTCCTCCCTGGGCCCTCTCCTCTTGCTTCCTGTTTCCTGGGTTTTGTTCTGAGAACCCTTGATGATTCCCCACCCCTTCCTTCTCCCACGCACACAGTACCCTTGTCCTTCTGCCCTCCACCCTTCCCCCATTTTCTCCCAGGCCTCTCTGACTGCTCCCCCTACACACACACACACACACACACACACACACGCGCACACACACACACACAGAGCCTGCTTTCAGCCCAGCCCACACCGCAGAGCATGATGGGAACCACTCACCGATTTTTTATCATCTTTCCACCAGCCAGCGTATACTCTCCTATACTTTCCCTTCTCTCGGTCAGGAGAGCTGAGGATGCCGTAGCCATCTCGCTTCCCAAACTTCCAGTCTCCCTCATAGATGGTTCCTTTTTTCTTCCAGATCTGTGTTCCTTTTCCTGATGACACAGAGATGGGTCAAGGCTGCAGACACTGCAGCCATGGGCCTGGCCGGGCAGATGCTGTGTCTGCCTTGGCCTCAGGGGCCCCTACAAGACTTGGTTGTTCTCAAGGGCTGGGCCAGGGTCTGTGGCTCATCTCTAGACCCCCAGCACTAGGGAAAACCCCAAGAAAGTTCCATTTCTACACATAGCAGTTCTCCAGCCTTTTGCCCTGAAACCAGACTGATATAGCAAGCCCCAGATAGAAATCTGCCACTTCTTTTTCTCTTAATAATAAGCTTTGTCTCTTTTTTATTTTAATTTTTTTAATGTTTATTTATTTTTGAGAGAGAGAGACACAGGGTGCGAGCGGGGGAGAGGCTAAGAGAGAGAGGGAGACACAGAATCCGAAGCAGCACTCCAGCCCTCCAGAGCTGTCAGCACAGAGATCTCGAACTCACCAACCACGAGATCATGACCTGAGCCGAAGCTGGGTGCTTAACCGACTGAGCCACCCTGGCACTCCTAGCTTTATCTCTTAATAATACTGAATGATTATGCCAGATGACCAGAATTACTAGAAAATATTCTGTATATTTCTTCAGTTCACTGGAACACACATGGGGACCCATCTCCTACCACTCCTGCTTCATCTGTATCTTCCACTGCCACCTTCCAGACTGCTCTCTAATCACGATGGCCTCCATGCTGTTCCTGGAACCCACCAGATATGCTTCTGCCTGTATACCTGCTTATCCTTTGGCCTGGAATGCTCTTCTCCAAATATTCACTCACTCTCTACCTCCTGCAAGTCTCTGTTCAAATCTATTTTCTCAAGGAGGCCTACCCTAACCCCTGTAAAATCATAAGCCTATCTTCCTGCCTTAACCTGCTCTGTTTCTTTTCATATCCCTTAGCAACTCCTAACCTAACAGACAATTCACTCACTTAAGATTTATTGTCTACAGTCTAGCTCTCCATGAGGAGAATATGCACTCTCTGAGGACACAGACTTTGGTCCATTTTGCTCACTGCCCTATTCCCAGCACCAAAGAACAAACAGTGCCTGAGAAATTGCGGGAGACCAATACATGCTGAACAAAGACTTTTGTTTTAAAAATTTTTTTTAATGTTTTATTTATCTCTAGGAGAGAGAGAGAGACAGCGTGAGCAGGGGAGGGTCAGAGAGAGAGGGAGTCACAGACTGAAACAGGCTCAAAGCTCTGAGCTGGCAGTCAGCACAGAGCCTGACGTGGGGCCCGAACCCACGAACTGTGAGATCATGACCTAAGCGAAAGTCGGACGCTTAACCGACTAAGCCACCCAGGCGCCCCTGAACAAAGACTTTTGTTGAACAAAAGGATGAATAAAATATTTGTGGAGTACCTATATGGGCCAATTCATGTCTTGGTCCTTGGTAGCTGAGGAACAAAGCCAACATTGTCCCTCTGAGCTTTTTGATCTCACATAAGTAACTTAACTTGGGGTTCCTCATCGGTTAAAGGGAGATGAGAGAATCTTATGGGGCTATTCTATCACTGAATTCCTTAACATATGGAAAGCACTAAGAACAGTGCCTGCAAATAGGAAAGATGTTACCGATTATTTTTGCCCTTGAGGTAGAGCCCTCACAACGTTGTCTATACCTATCCTCCTTCTAGTTCTATTCCTTTTGAGGAAGCAGCTGCTCCCAAGCTCTCAATCCCTAAGGGTTAAATGGGTCAGACTCCTCCCCCTGGCAAGGCTAGCCAATCAGTCTGGGCAGTGATTGGTTCAGTGAGGGACATGTGACTTAAGTTGTTCCAATGAGACTGTTTGCCTCGGAACAAGGGCAAATTTACCACCTCCTATAAGTTTCCTTTTTTCTTTTTCAATTGTTTACTCATGGGGGGGAGGGGCAGAGAGGGGGGAGACAGAATCCGAAGCAGGCTCCAGGCTCTGAGCTGTCAGCGCAGAGCCATACGCAGGGCTTAAACCCATGAACCACCAGATGATGACCCAATCCAAAGTCCTCGCTTGACTGACTGAGCTACCCAGGCACCCCAGGGTCTTTTTTTTTTTTTTTTAAGCTTATTTGCTTATTTTGAGAGAGAGCAGGAGGGGCAGAGAGAGAGGGAGAGTGAAGCCCAAGCAGGATCTGTACTGGCAGCGTGGAGCCCTAGGCCGATCTCAAACCCACAAACCATGAGATCATGACCCTAGCAGAAACCAAGAGCCAATGCTCAAAGGACTGAGCCACCCAAGGGCCCGAATAGGGTGCTTTATGTTTGGAACCCTTGACCTGCCCGCTCTTTCAACTTGCTCTCTCTGCTCTGGGCACACTGGCTTCCAGTCAGTTCCAAGAACAAGACTTAATACACCCTCAAATTCTTCCATTCTGATTTCACCATCTAGGAGACATGCCCTTCCTCTTCTGCCAGGCGAATCCTTCTCATCCTTCTGTGCTCAGCTCAAACATCACCTCTGTGCTCTCATGGCTGCCTTCATGTCTCCTCTCTGGTCCCCTTCACATCCTGATGCCACACTCTTATTTTTATTTTTATTTTTATTTTTATTTTTAAGTAAAATAGCCTTGTTTTATTATGTACAGACTATAAATAAACAAGCCACCCACTCTGAAAATAGCAGGTTCCGGCTTTTCTCAGGGCCCTCAGAAGCGTCTGGGAGACAGTTCCTTCTCCAGAGGGGTGTGTGTGTGTGTGTTTGTGTGTGTGTGTGTGTGTGTGTGTGTGTGAGATCGAGAGAGAGAGAGAGAGAGAGAGAGAGAGAGAGAGAGAGAGAGAGACAGAGAGAGAGAGAGAGAGAGAGAGAGATCTAGCCACATGGTCCTCCTTGCCTAAAATCTTAAACTTTGGCTCCAGCTTCTCTGGTCCAGGAGGAGGCCTCAGCCTAGGGCAGGTATAAGCCAATCACTCAATTTATTTTATTTATTTATTTTTAATTTTTTATTTTTGAGAGAGAGACAGACAGTGTGAGCAGAGGAGGGTCAGAGAGAGAGGGAGACACAGAATTGGAAACAGGCTCCAGGCTCTGAGCTGTCAGCACAGAGCCCCACATGGGGTTCAAACCCAGGAACTGTGAGATCATGACCTGAGCTGGAGTTGGCCACTTAACCGACTGAGTGACCCAGGTGCCCCTCTTTTTTTTTTTTTTTTTAAAGTTTATTTATTTATTTTGAGAGAGAGAGAGCATGAGCAGGGCAGGGGCAAAGAGAGAGAGAATCCCAAGCAGGCTCCATGCTGTCAGCACAGAGTCCAGTGCAGAGCTTAAACTCACGAACCATGAGATCATAACCTGAGCCGGAATCAAGAGTGGGATGCTTAACCGACTGACCCCCCCAGGCTCCCCCAGGTCACTCAACTTCTATCTTATTCTTCTGCAAAGAATCAAGGAAGGCTTGCCACTCTGCTGTGTAAAAATGCTTTTAGACATTGGTCTTATTCTGAATCTGTTTGGGGCTATCTTGACAGTAATTCTCCTCCTCCCAGGCCATGGCTTTATAGTCTTCCCCATGGTGCTCCAGCATGTAGTATACATGGTCACCGAGCTTTCAAGACAGCATATTTCCTTTTTTTTCTGGGAGGCTGGCTTCTGCCTCCAGGCCATTTAGCACATAGCTATGTGCCCCTCAGTAAATCATTTCTTCCCTCTGAATCCCAGTTTCCTCTTCTCTAAAATGCGATATTACTTATTGTGCGGGTTCTCCGTGAGACTGGAACTCCCAGGGAGTTGGCATTATGCAGATGCCCAGGACAGGGCCCAGCATGGACTAGGAGTGCCATTGGTGTGAGTGGAGTGAATGAATGAACAGCCTAGGGAACCACTAGCCACTCCAATCCTTGCCCTGAATAACGATGACTTTTGACTGCTTCCAGGCTGCTCATACCACAGCAATCCCCTGTCAGCATGATCAAAGGCATGTCTTGAAGAGAGGGGAGGCTGGGTCTGGATTCTGACAGGTCCATTTTCTGGAGCCCCAGCCCAGTCTGCTCTATGCCTCCACAGCCCTACGGGAGGCAGGACTGGCATAGAAAGAGGGCTCAGGGGGCCTTGTCAACCCATGAGTTCACATTGCAGGTGGGGCAGCTGAGATCCAGAGAACAGGAGATGGCTTACCCCAAGTCACACCGCTGTTCAGTGGTGGAGCCAGACTCAGAACTTCGGGACCCTAATTCCTAGTTCAGGGCCCTGTCTCCCTCCCCTGCTGCCCACAGGGACTAAAGCACATACACAGGCGTCTTTAACCACACACAAAGCCCAGAGTAGCTGCATAAAGTCTGGCTTTTCAGTCAGTGCTGAGCAGTCGTGTTGTGTCACATACTGGGTGAGGTCAGCTTTGGAGTGCTTCTGGACAAGGAAAGTTCTCAGGAGTGGTGATCCCTGCCATGCTCAGTCCTCAAAGAACACTCAAGAAGCTTCCCTTCTGCACACACCCTGGGCTACACACTTGATAGACCTCAACTCTTATCTTTACTGATAAGTAGTTTCCCATTTTACAGATTGGAACACTAAGGCTCAAAGTGGGGTAATTAGTCCCTCAAGGTCAGAGTTGGTGAAGCTGAGATTCTGACCCAGCTTTATGGACTCCAAAGTGCTTAGCTCAGGAAGGCAGGAGAGAAAAGTGGTTAAGAGCATAGCATCTGGTGGGGGGGAGGGGGGCACCTGGGTAGCTCAGTCGGTTAAACGTCCAACTTCAGCTCAGGTCATGATCTCGCAGTTTGTGGGTTCGAGCCCCATGTCGGGCTCTGTGCTGACAGCTCAGAGCCTGCAGCCTGCTTCGGTTTCTTTGTCTCCCCTTCTCTCTGCCCCTCCCCTGCTCATGCTCTGTCTCTCTGTTTCTCAATAATAAATAAATGTTTAAAAAAGTAAAAAAAAAAAAAAAAAAGGGGTGCCTGGGTGGCTTAGTCGGTTAAGCGTCCGACTTTTGCTTAGGTCATGATCTCGCGGTTTGTGGGTTTGAGCCCCGCGTCGGGCTCTGTGCTGACTGCCAGCTCAGAACCTGGAGCCTGTTTCAGAGTCTATATCTCCCTCTCTCTCTGACCCTCCCCTGCTCGCGCTGTCTCTCTCTCCTAGAAATAAATAAAAATATTAAAAAAAAAAAAAAAAAGTAAAAAAAAGACAAGGGCATAGCATCTGGATTGCATGTCTTGAGTGAGGAGCCATACCATCTGTTTAGAATAAAAATTTGTTTTCCTTGGGGTGCCAGTTGTCTCTGTTGGAAGAGCATGCAACTCTTGATCCTGGGGCCATGAGTTTGAACTCCATGTTAGGTGTAGAGATCACATGAGTTTGAACTCATGACCCCAAGATCAAGAGTCACATGCTTGGAATGCCTGGGTGGCTCCGTTGGTTAAGCTTCCGACTCTTGGTTTCAGCTCAAGTCATGATATCACGGGTTGTGAGTTCAAACCCCACATCGGGCTTCACGCTGACAGTACAGAGCCTGCTTGAGATTCTCTCCCTCACTCTCTGCCCCTCCCCTGCTCACTGTCTCTGTCTCTCTCTCAAAATAAATAAATAAACTTAAAAAAAGAAAAGAGTCACGTGCTCCACCAACTGAGCCATCCAGGTGCCCCTAAATCAATAAAACTTAAAAACACTTGACTTTCTTCAGGGCTTATTTTGTGCCACAAGGACCCCTATGCCATGTGCTGATTAAAGCTGCAGTTCTATTTGAAGCCTCAGCTGGTTGTCTGTGTATGTGCATGTGTATATGTGTCTTCTCTCTCTCGTTACTGACCAGAGCCCCACATCAGAGCTGTTTGAATCACCATTGCAAGTGGTTTGGGGGGGCTCCTTTTCCTCAGGCTAGCCAGGCCCAGGTTAGCCCAGGTCTCGGAGGGGAGGGGCTGTGCTGGAGTCCCTAGAGCCCTGGCTGAAGTTACGGTTGGAATCTCAAACCCAGTCTGTCCCATGCTGGTCCCTGAGGTCTTTGGTCATCTAAAGTCAGGGCTGAGTTTGGTTGCAGAGCCCAGCCTGTGGAGACCCCTGGCTGGCCCAGGTCAGCAGCATTTACCCCTTGGGGACCTTGGTGATGTAGCTTATGTCCCCTACAAGCTCTGCCAGCTACTTCCTTGGCCCCCATCACCCGCCATGGCCCAGACTCGATACTCCCAAGCCCCTGAAGATCCCCCAACTCACCATGTTTCATGTTGTCCTTCCATTGACCCACATAGCAGTCGCCATTGACAGCGTACACCTGGTGCCTCAGTCCATTCTTTTGGGCCTTCCGGTCCCACCCCTTCCACAGGGGCTCCGACCTTTGCAGGCACTTGGAGATAGGCATGCTGGCTGCTTCTGTGGGGCCAGAGGGTGCTGGCAAAGGGTTAGGGACATCAGGGGCTCAGTGTGTCCCTAGTAGTGCCAGGATCCCGGGGCTTCCTGCACAGGCACTCGTCTGAGCCCAAATGGTGTGAGTCATGTGTGTTTGGGGTCCCCGGGCAGATGAGCAGCCATTTGGGGGGGATCCTTCTGTGCTGGACTGACCCTTGGCTGTCATCTCCTTTGCATCTCTAGGGGCCCCCTGAGGTGGCTCTGATGGCACAATTGCTTGGGAACCCAGGGAAACCAGTAGACCAGGGGGGTTTGTGATGATATCAGGAAGAAGCTGCCCCCGACCAAGGTCGACAGTCACATATTTAATAACCAGTATTACCAATCAGAGTGGATGCTTTACGCTAGAGCCTGGCCTGGAGCCCCCAGTGGTGAGCACTGGGATTCCCTCAGGGAGAGCTAGGGAGAGGGGAGCGGAGCTAGCCAGGCCACTCTGGGCAGGCAGACAGCTGCCATAGCACAGCTCACAGGGACACCTTCTCTGCACCCAGCACCCAATACTGTAGTCCCTTTGGTCCTGTCTTACCTGTTAGAGGGTACTGGGAACGCCCAGGGCCTGGTTTTGGAAGCGGTCAGGAGAGCCCACCAACTAAAGATACTACCTCTAGGGTGACCTCCGGGTTTGCCTCGGATTGAAGCGTTTCCTAGGAATCTGGACTTCAGTGCTAAAACCAGGACAATCCCAGGCACACCAGGGTGGATGGTCATCCTTTTATCTATGACCTCTGCCCTCTGCCCAGATATTCTACTTGTCTGCCTCATTACCTGCTTAGGTTTTCCCATCAGACCAGAGCGCTCCTCCCTGCCACGCGTGATGGGGTTGCAGGGAATCTTCGCGGGTCTAAGGTCTCTCTGTAGTCTGGGAGCCCACCACCTATACTCTTCATGTCGTCAAGCTCTCCAGTGTGGACATTCATGTCTATCTGTGTGTCTCCGTGGGTCTTGTGCAAGGTGATAAAGATGGTCTCCTCCCAATCACGGGGATCTGTTTCCCCTCAGCCAATATCATCTATCCTGCCCCAGGGGTTTGGGGAATATGTGTGTGCGTGTGCACACAACACGCACACGCACACACATGCCAGTGGAGCTGGCAGAATGATAGGTACTGACCGATTAGAATGACCTCTGGGCTCAGCAGGTTTCAGGAGGCATCCACCCACCCGGGGCCAGCAACCTGTGGGTATGTAACCTGTGCAGCCCAACAGGGCCCACCCTTAGAAGGGCCTGTGCTTGGTTTACTCCTTTGCTGTCACTGTTTTTTTAATTCTTAATACTTTATGGGTGAGGGCCCCCTTTTCCATTTTGCACTGGGCCCACACATCAAGGAGCTCCTAACGTTGGGCTACAGCAGAGTCTTCAGGAGTCTGACCGGGCTGACCAAACACACTGGCTGGCATTTATTCGGACAATCACACGCCTAAGAACAGTAAGTCACTCCTGGCAAAGGAAACAGCAAAGGCAAAAGCTGGGAGGGAGGAAACAGTCTCAGGTGTTAAATTTAATGTGTTTTTTCCCCTCCCGTTCCCCAGTACTAATTGTATGATGATGGATCTTTATATGTAAATTAATTCACTTTTAAAAGTCAATATATTTATCCATGAAAGAGACTTCACATATCATTACTATAAATGGAAAACGAGTGTCAGATGCCCTAAGAGGAAGGCACTGTAAAAATTAAAATACTAGAAAGAAATCAACTGAAGTCTTAGCTAGATAATTGTGGCTTACCAAAGTTGAGTTTAGCAAGTATTGAGGAAGTTGTTAGAGTCGTATTGGCCCCAAACTGACACTTTCTCCTTGGATTACTCAGAAGTGTAAGAGAACCTAGAACCTAATAAACTTTTTTACGACGCTACTGGGTGTTACTTAATGTCTCATGAGTGTAGTAGAAAATCATCCCCTGTCCCACACTCTCCCGGGAACACAGGTTCAACTCCAGAGGAGGCTGCGGTCTTAATACGGGAGCCGCTGGTAGGAAAAGGAAGCCTTATGAGGCGGTGCGTGGGCTCTGCACGTTTTTGGATACTGAATCACTATAAATGAACTACAATGGAAGGTGGAGGGGGCGCCCATACGGCTGGGGGTCCTTCCCGAGTCCCCACCCCACCCACCTGCGCCAGCTCACCTGCGCCGGCTCACCCGCGAGGCGGAACCTGGAGCCGCAGCCCTGGGGGCTAGAGCGGTGGGGTAGCAGCTTCCAGCTTCAACCGCCCAGTGCGGCTCGCGCCGCGGCGTCTCTGGCCCGGCTAAGGTCGCTATGGCAACGCGGGGCCCCGGCAAGCCGCCGGCAGTGCCCGCCCCTTCCTGCGGAGAGTGTGCGCTCGCTGAGCCGCGGGAAGGGTGCAGGTCCGCTGGCGTGGAGAAGGACGTTTTAGGGCCTGTGGAGGTCGAGAGCCGCTGGCACGTCGGCATGGTGGCCAGAGGCTGGTGGGCGAGCCCGAAGATCCCAAAGCCGATAGCCGCGCAGTGTGGACCCCAGGGTGTCCCGGGAGGCTACTGCCCTTCCCATTCGGCGCCCCTCTCCCATCTGGGGGTCCCCCGGGCAAATACAACACCCTAAGCAGACAAGAAAAGGTTAAAGGCTTTTGTTCCATGTTTCGAGGACACAGAGGCAAAATTTGAAGGGAAAACCAACATCATACCAGTTCTTAGTCTCATCAGGGGTCTGCCAGACAACTTTAAGAATCCGAGGGAAGGGGCGCCTGGGTGGCTTAGTCGGTTAAGCGTCCGACTTTCGCTCAGGTCATGATCTCGTGGTTCGTGGGTTCGAGCCCCGCGTCGGGCTCTGTGCTGACTGCCAGCTCAGAGCCTGGAGCCTGTTTCAGAGTCTGTGTCTCCCTCTCTCTCTGACCCTCCCCTGCTCACACTGTCTCTCTCTCTCCTAGAAATAAATAAAAAACATTAAAAATTTAAAAAAAAAGAAAAAGAATCCGAGGGAAGCTGGGGCGCATGGGTGGCTCAGTTGGTTAAGCGTCTGACTTCTGAGTTAACACTCAGGTCTGATCTCTGGTTCATAGGTTGGAGTTCCGCCTGCGGCTCTGGGCTGACAGCTCAGAGCCTGGAGCCTGTTTCGGATTCTGTGTGTGTCTCTCTGCCTCTCCCGTGTTCCTGCTCTGTCTCAAAAATAAACGTTAAAGACGAAGAAGAAGAATCTGGTGGAAGCTGTACCTTGAAGATGTGTGTTGTTTGTTTGTTTGTTTGTTTGTTTTTTGTTTAGTTTTTGAGAGAGGGAGAGAGAGAGTTAGCATAAGCAGGGGAGGGGCAGACAGAGAGGGGAACAGAGGATCTGAAGAGAGCTCTTCGCTGACAGAAGAAAGCCTGGTGGGGACTCAAACCCAGCAACTGTGAAATCATGACCTGAGCTAAAGTTGTATGCTTAACCAACTGAGCCACCCAGGTGCCCCAGAAAATCTTGTTTTGATGGGCTTTTCTCTAATCATCAGTGGACACCCTTCATTGCTTTGTTCTTCATTCCAGTTGGAGCGGGACTTTTTTGTTTGCTTGTTTGCTTTGATTTTGGTTTTTGGCTTATTTTAGAATGGAACTTTTGCCCTGATTTCCACACTCATTGCATCACTTATAGTTAATTTGTTGGGTGTATGTCTCCCTCTCAGCAGAGGGTAACTGCTCTGTGTAAATTCCTGCCTCATCCAAGATTCCTTTGGTTGCAAGTAGAGACACCATTTCATACTACCTCATAAAGGAAATTTATTAAGGATACAAGAGTGTTGGAAAGCTGTTAACAGCAAAGCTATCCTCTTCCTCTTGCTTGGTCTTTCCATCTCTGGGTGTCTCCTTCACTCAGTTTTCTCATGCTTGTGGTGGAAAATGGCTGCCCTTTATATATCTTGGTTATATAACCACTCACAGAAATGAATTGACTCTTTTTGAATTCCAATCCCAAATTCATGGGTGGCCCAGGTAGGGTCTGGAGTCTGCCCCTGGCCAGTCATGCTACTAATGCTGGTTCTCTCATGACATTCTCCTCTCTTCCTCAGATGCCTGGCCCGAAGGCCCAGCAGGCTTTTCCCTAGTACAAACTGTCCTTGGCTTGTGACTTTAGACGGAACCACCCACTGAGTGGCGCCTCGTGGTCTAGAGTCTCCTCTCTCCCTGGACCAGGCTGAGACATGGCCTGACCTGAGCCGCAGTCCCACCACTGCAAGGAGCCCTGTGATGGCCCCTAATCCTGGCTCAGGGAAGCTAGAACTGTGCCCGGGAGAAGAATGTGGAGTGGGTAAGGTTTACCTGCATCCACAGGCTAGCTGGCTGGGCAGGTTACAGATCTAGGACACCATTTTCCCTATGGGGTCCGAATCTGGTAGCATTATTCTCAAACTGCTGAGCAGTGCTGTGGACTGGCCACTCCCCAGTACTGAACAGCCAAGAGGGCTCCTGTTCCAAAGACCCTTCTGATAATTACTTGCCAGACTTGAATGGCTAGAATTTATTGGGCTCCTCTCAAGGGTCTTTTATAAAGCATGGGGTGAAGAGAGCTCTCTTGTGTGGTATGGGGTGAGAAGGGCTCCTCTATACACCCACAGATAAACATCCCCTTGAGGAGACATGCTCCTATTTATGCTTTCCTGGGCACAAAGCTTTGGCTGAAAGCCTGGAGGCTCCGCTCTCTCCAGAAATCTTTGCAGATTTCATCCAACAGTTGCTGAGCTGTCAACCCCGCCGGCACGGGGACTGCAGTCCACTTCTGAGAGGACCATCTGCATAAAATGAGAACAGGGCCTCTGGTGTTGAGTAACCTGGGTCTCAGCCTTTACAGAAGTGGCAGGAAGGACCCACCTGTCAGGACCATCAAAAGTCTCTGGTGCACATAATAGACAAAAGATGGAGAAAACTCAAATGTCCATTAAAAGATGAACGGATGGGGCGCCTGGGCGACTCAGTCAGTTGAGTGTTCAACTCCTGATTTTGGCTCAGGTCATGATCTCACGGTTCATGAGTTTGAGAGCGGCATCAGTGCAGAGCCTGCTTGAGATTCTCTCTCTCTCCCTCTCTCTGTTCCTCTCTCGCTTGTGTTCTCCCTCTCAAAATAAATAAACTTAGAAAAAAACATTTAAAAGATGAATGGATAAACAAAATATCTTCTGTCCATCTAATGGAATATTATTCAGCCATAAAAAGGAATGAAACACTGATACATGCTGTA